AAAAGGATATGATACAGCAATTAAATTGATGAAATCTAAAACCATTTCTTCATTCAAGAATTTCAAAACAATTTTTTTCATTCATAAATTCTAAAACCACTTGTTCATTCATGAACTTTAAACACAGTAAAATATTTACTCAAGTACCACTTTCTTCTAAATTGAGAGGAAAGAGGGGGTTGCATGTCATGGACAGGTTCAAAATTCACAAAATCAGCATTTCAAAATATTATGAGCTCAGGTGTGTGACATGATACATAAACAGGAAATTTTGAGAAAATTGAGAATTGACTTTCAACTGAAAACTTGAAAATTAAATTATACAGTATTTGGGTTCAATAAAAGTCAAAATTCGAATTCTGATGTGTTTCAGTAAATTATAAGAAATATAAGCACCCCCTTCCAAGTTTAGAAGCTCAAAAATCAGACAGAGTGCTAAGTAATTGTGTAACAAAATTGTTGAGCCTAAATTCAGTCAGAAATTTGAGGCTCCTGGAAAGTCAGAACACCAGGAAAGTAAGTGGGTGCTTATACAGTATTTGCCAATTGATGGGATTTTCAGTTTGAGAATGAAAAATCTGGGGAGTTTTTACAACTTTGTGAATGCAGTTTTTTCAAAATTTGGCAACTCTTCTGTCACTTAAATGGAAGGCTTGTCTTGACTTGGGGATAGGTTCTTCTCCAATGAGAAAATTAGGTGCATGGTACTTGAAATTTAGTTCATAAGTAGTAGTATTGTCGACAGGTAATTGGTTCTGTGATGACGTGTTAAATGAGTGAGTTAGGAGAGAGAGAGAGGTCGACACTGTGAATGTCCCACAAATGGATCTCAGGATCTTTGTCCACTCTAATGATAACTTGTTCCTATGAGAAGAACAACTTTTCTAGAGATCCACTCTCTAGACTGTCTGTCCAGGGTCATTTGAAAAAGTTCAGAAAAAACTATCCACCCAGATTGTGACACAATTTGAGATTATTTCTGCAAGATATGCACAGGGCATTATTTTTTCTGGCAGGGTATGTTAATTATTCATGCAGGGAAAATTCTACTGTCTATTTTATGCACACTCAGTCAAGTAACTGACTTCCAGAGTTTTCTTTGAAATATTCTTGAATTGGCCCCATGCAATCTTGCAGAATTAATTCTTTTTTTGAGTGAAGCAGAAATTCAAATTATTTTTGACCACATAAATCCCACTTAAAAAAATACACTCGTTCATTCATGCCTCATAACATACTCATGAGGTCCCCCCCAAAGTCTGAATAAAGAGGATTGCAAAAATATTTTTGAAATGCTGTATCATTATTTTTTGAATACTGTACTGCATTTACTCAAGTAAGCTGCACACCAGGGTTTTCACAGTTAAAATTCTGATTAAAATTTTAGCCCTGAGTAAGATGCGCATTCCATTCTTAGCAACATCAAAACCACAATATTTCAAAAATGAGAACATCCAAATTTGAGTTCAAATATAAAATGAACCTGAATTCAAACAATTTTCAATTGTTTTTCCATTAAAATAAGTTCTTTTGCTAAACTTGGTCCACAACTTTCCAATAGAATCAAGTATAATGCACACCCAAACTTTTCAAAAATTACATGCCTTACCAAGTCGCAAAGCCCCATTTTTTTCTTTTCAAATTCAAGAATGGTAATTCAGTAAATATTGCTGTCTAAATGAAAAAAATGGGCTTTAAATTTTCATGACACATTTAGCATCCCTCTCTGCAATGATTTTGTCCACAGCTGTTTTTTTTTATCTGTACAAACAATCTTTTTGGGTCCCATGGGATTCTATCCCCACATTACTGTATAGGAGTTCCCAAGAACAAAACTCTATTTACAAAAACTTTTTTTCTGGACCCTTGAATTTCATTGTAGAGAGAGTCCACTTATACACTTGACTTTACACTGTGCCAAACTCAAAATGCTTCCACTTAAATTATGTCACAATCGAGTTTCCAAGTTTTTTTCTAGAATATCTAGAACTTTTCCAAATCACCAACAACAAGAACAAAAAAAAAAACGCAGGAAAATTCTGAGGAAATCACACCTGAGGTTCGGACTCGACACTATTGTCTCTCAGCTCGACAGAACACTGCATTCATGACTCATTTCCTACACACAAAAAACTCCTCAAAAAATATTCACACACACACAATCATAAATGCAGCGTTCGGCCGCAAGAAGACAAACTAAAAAAAAAAATATATATATAAACAACTGTGCGGCTCATCATGTGGAAGCTCACAGGGCTTCGGAGGAGAGAATCAAACGGTAACCTTCGTCATTGGGGTTTTTTTCTCATCCAGTATCTGTTCCAGGGCCTGGGGGGTCGAAAAAATGTCAAGCCTCGCTCCGTTTCGAGGCTGCCTCTGCATGGTACAAAGATGGCTGAACACGAGAGAAAACCTGGTTTATTTATTTTGGCACGGGTCTCTCTTTCCACTCATTTTTAAAATTCACACAATTTCATACACTAGACAAAGTCAAACTGACGCTTCCAAAGACGTCTTCGGGTTTTTATTGAGGGCACGATTGAACTTTTTTCAATTCTTCTCACGTGCCAGCGATTTTTCTAAACATGCTTCAAAATTCCATCACAACGAATTTTTCGTTAGAACGAATTTTTTCTTGGTCCCAGCAATTTTTCCTTGGGCGCAAAGTTCTAAAAATATCATTTTAACGCACTAATATTAACCATTATGTATCACCTCAGTATCACGAATTTTATGCTGTACTTGGACCAAAGAAATAATTTGATAAATGATAGGAAAAATGAAAAAAATTGGAAATGGTGCAGCATTTGAAGTTCTTCAAAGAAGCAAACATATCTGTAGAAAAAATTTGATGTTAAAAAATTATGAAATGTGACATATTTCTTGGAAATGCTTTAGCTCCATTTTAAAAAGTAAGCCTTTATTTCAAATAAACCCCATGTCAGAAACAATTTTCCTCCATTTGAAAGAACAAACAGGTACAAATGAATACATTGATTCAGAACAAGGTACACTATTTCTGTCACATAAATTTGTGATTGATTTTATTTTTCATGAAAAAATTACTCCAAGAAATTTTTTCATTTCATTAGATTAGAAATACTGTACAGTAAAAATTTCATCACCCTATTTTTAGTGACTCTGAAATTGTATGTTTTCCAAAATAATAACACCAAAATTTGGTCTTAGACTTCATTTGATCCTGAACTCAACTAATTTTCAATAATTGCTATTGAAATTGGCGCACAGTTTTGCATTAGAATTTAATATACTGCAATACACACATAAGCTTAAAACAATTTTTCACAAATTTATAACCATCTTTGACACACACCCCCTTTTTCAATTTCAATTTTGAGAAAGAAGGTGTGCATGGTACTTCAGTGAACATGGTACATTACTGTACAACAGGTCTTGAATTATATGCTTCAGAAGAACTACACACAATTTATTACTCATTTTCCACGAAATTTCAGACTAAATTGAATCTTGATACACAGAATTTTTGGCCACATTCCTGGGAGTTTGTTGTGACAAAATTTTAGAGTACTTCAATTTAAAAAACGCAAACCTTCCCCCCCCCCCCCCCCGCCCCCAAACAAAACTTTGGAAGCATCAGCAGCAAATGAAAGAAAAAAAAAAAAAACAATTTCCATTCCCCCACAACCCAGTGGTTCGCACAGGAACGAACCTTCAGAGATGACGAAGCCAACTATGGACAGAGACAGCCCCAGGGCAAGAACCGTGAACCCAGAGCCCAGGATGAACTTGAGCACCCGTTTCGTAGCCCGACTCGGACGACCCAGGTTCCACTTGAAACACGCCTCTTGAAACGTTTTCCGTTCTCCGATGCTTTCGCCGGTGATGGAGCCGCCTCGGGGGCGGTGGCGGCGGTCCGAGCCCGCCCTGGCGATCCCAAGTCCATCTTCCCGGATCTCCTTCCGAAAGTTTGCTAAGAACATAGCATATTCCTCGACTAGCTCATCAAGTCGACTCGGCAACTCGCGAAAAAAAAGAAGACACTACCGACTCCCCTGAGAAATGATAAAAAAAACACAATCAAACCCTCGTTTCAGCCACAGACATTGGTTGGAAAAATCCAACACAGTACAGTAGAATTCCGTTACAACAAATCTCGTTATAACGAATTTTTTGTTACAACACATTTTTTTCTTGGTCCCAGCAGTTTCCCATAGACGTAATTTAATAAACATTTTGTTATAACAAAGTAATTTTAGGCTGTAATCTCATTGTAAAAATTTTTTGCCATGATTATGTGCACAGCCCATACAGGGAATACTCAAGAAATGGCAGACATTTTTGGAAACATTAAAAGATGTAGCATTACAACTTGATCAAAAAATCTTTATGCAAAGAAAACTTGCTATCCAAAAAATACACAACAGCTAGAACATATTTTTTGTAATTTTTTTGCTCATCCATTTTAGAATATGCCTATTTCAAATAAACAGTATGTTAGAAGAATGTTCCACTATTTTAGAAAGAGCGATGAGTGGATAAGTTGATTGAGAAGGAAATGGAGCATGTTCACCATACGTAATTTTGTTTTCATTTTTCATGACCAGCAATACTACGTTTGTTTATTTAAAGGAGAGTACGTTTTATATTAATGGATATCCCTTCATTTCATCAGAAGTAATCACTAATTATGCTAGGTCTTGAATTCTGTATTTTAGAAGCACTTCAATGTATGTATTCCCCATTTCCAATAAAATTGCTGTCTGAAATGTGCTAAAAATCATTGATATTGATGCAGCAAATTTTTTGTTGCAACAAATTTTTTCTCAGGTCCCCAGGAGTTTGTTGTAATGATTTTACTGTATATTTGGTACAGGGGACCCTTTGTTAAGAAGCTTCATTGGTTCCAGACAAAAGTTTGTCAGCCAAAAAGTCTCTCAGCAAAATTTTGTTTTCCCATATGCTTTAGTGGGGAAGAGTTTAATCCATTCTATGAACCCTAAAGACAATTGATCATGGAATATAAAAAATTCAAGACTGTCAAAAATGATCAGAATAGGTTATTGCAGCATATTATATGGACCCAGAATGATTTTACAGTTATATGGAAGTGGCACCGATGAAAACAAAGATAAAAAGAAAAGCTTCACATCCAAATAAACACACACACACACACCACGTGAAAATGAAATTGCTTTTTTTAATGCTGCAAGTAAAGATCAAATATACCTTTCTAACAGTTGAACAACTAGAAAAACCAAGCTCCGAAAAAACAAGTGATTCTATCCCAGAAATGCACATGGATAATGTAGAAATTGAAGATGAAAGAAATTTTAAAACCCAAGATTACACATATAATAGTGCCAGGAGGAAGGGATTTTATATCAGTGCATAGGTGAATTACTTGCACTTAGATTGTACCATAAACTTCAGCCTAAAAATCAGATTTTGAATTTTCAAATTTGGGATTTTACCCCAAAAAAAGTTTTTTAACCAATGGACTTTTCTTGAAAATCCAAAAGTTTGTTATCTGAGCAGTTTATTAACCAAGGGTCCACTGTATTAAGAATTATACTGAAATACAGTATAAAAACAGTACATTTGAGCTACTATTTATTTCTCATAGCTTCCTTTCTTATGAAACAAACTCTGTTGACTAAAAATTTGTCATACATTGGTATAAAATTTTCAAAAAGGTTTAGAAGTTCAAGTTTGCACATACTTGATTCTAAAAATAATTCTGAACTAATTAGAGAAAAACTTATTTTAAAGGAAATATTTTTAAATTAGTTGAATTCAGGTTCAATGTATGTCTAAATTCAAATTTGCACATTTGTCTCTCAATTGTTTTGAAATTGCATAGTGGTTTTACAGTCAATAAAAATGGGATGCCTGTCTCACTTAGAAATACAATTTTTTCTTTTAATTTCAGACTGTAAAACCCTGGTGCGCTTCTTACTTGAGTGCAAGTGATACTTCAATCAATACTTCATTAATTAATCTTGTCAAATTATTTATGATCAATTGCGATCAAACATTGAGTTTAAAATAACACTAGATTGAGCTGAAGATAAAGTTACAAACTTATGTCTACAAATAATTATAAAGAAAATGTTTGTTCTAATTTCAGGAAAATAAACTATTCAAGAACTCCTCGCATCGCTAAAAAATATTTTTCTCCAAGACACTCAGAAGGTCGAAGAAATTCCCTCGCAAACATTCAATGAAATACTGGACTCCATCCACCACACTTATAAAAAAATAAAACATGTTCGCGTTTGAACACAACAAGACATTTTTAAAACACCGGCTTCTCAAGAAATGCCCCACTTCTCACAAAAAACTCACTCGTAGAAATGAAAATTACGCACAATTTCTCAGAATCTCCAGAGAGAAAAAAAACCGTCACAACGATTTCCGCGCCAAAATCATTAAATTTCACCCAATCCTGCAAAAAGACAGAAAAGCATTCAAACAATAAAATCCATCAATGCGCATCAACCCAATACAATTTTAGACCAAGAAAAAACTCAACCGCTTTGTCCTTCAGCACATGGATTAAACCTTTGCATATTGCACTCGCAAAAAAAAGAAAAAAAAAACTCCTTCTCATCAAATTACAACAAACATAGAAAAACCAACAGAAGTTCAACTAACCAATATAAACTAAAAACCAGTATCTTTGGATCAGTACAAAAAAATCTCTCACACGTTGCTCCACAAAATGGCAACACTGATTGACAATTAAAGTCATCCAATTTTCCGTCGCAAAAAAAAACAAAAAAACATTTCGTACACTAAAAAAACATATACAGTACAATACACAGGGTTTCTTCTTCCCATCGAAAGATATCAATTCACGGCTAAATAAATTCTGAAAATCCCATCCTTTACGCATGACAAGAACGTAAATAAATCAACACCCCGAAGAGATGAACATAAAATTCTAAATTTTTCTGGAACAGAGAAATTCTTCTCTAAATAAATCCCTAAAAACTCAACCAGATATTCCGACATTGATTTTCCTCGTCCAGAACGTTGCATACACGAAATTTCAAAAACGAAGAAAAGCAAAAAAAAAATGGAAAAAAGAAGCACACATCATCGAAATCTCGACACAGGGGCCTTAAAACAAAAACAAAACACTCGGTCACGTGTAGACGAACTAACTAGCTTCGCTATCGGATTGATGAATGAAGTCTGTCGACGACATGATTGTTGTTCTCTTCTATGGACTCGACGTTGTTTTGGTTGATGTCGGCAACTGCTCCCAGTCCTGCCAACGTGTCCCTGGACGCGTAGGGCGGCGGTGGGCCCATTTCATCCCTCAACAAAGGCACGAATGCAGACTGCGACCACTCTTGTCTCAACTGCAGAAATCGAAATCAAAAAGTTTACAGCATCCTCACGCCAAAAAAATGTCGAATAAAAATAACTTTGTATTTCATCAAGTTGTGAGCTTTAAAATGTTGAAACTTTTCCCCGATGGAAGATATCTGCTTTGAAAATTCCAAAACATTTTCCTTGATTAATTAAAAAAAAATCAACCTTCAATGCAGTGCCATAAATTTCCCTGAAATACATCTCCCACAATTGTATACTACAGGGGAAACCCCATTTTAGCATCAATTCAGTAGGTACCAGAAAAAATACCTTGCCATGGGTGAAAAATGGGCCAAAATACAGTACAGTATGAAGAAATTGACCCCTTACACCATGAATATCATTAAGTTATCCCTAAGCATTCCCATGCTCATCTAAAAGCTCATGATAATTTTGAACACTCTTTCCGAGTTTACATTCAAGAACATATTTTTGCTTTTAAATGAAACACTTCCTTCATTGACTATCCTAGCTTTCTTGCAAGCATCAGTGATTTCTGCATGATGGCACCCTGATATAAAACTCAAACAAAGCTTCAAGAAAAAACTTTGTTTTTCACTATACACAATAAGTGTAAAAATTAAATGATACAGTATCTTATCACAGTAAAATCCTGTTACTAGAAACTGACATGGACTTGGAAAAATTCAAAATACCAGAGTAATTTGGAAAAATTCAAAATACCGAAGTAATTCGTTATAAGATTAATTTCAAAATTAATTACTGAAAAAAAAATTGAAAGTTGGACTAAGCTCACCTCACATGGTCAAGAAAATATCATCTGGAAAATCCTCTGATCAGTAAAGAAGTTTGTTATCCTGGAAAATTTCCTGGAATGATATTTTTTCTAACAAGATTTTCCTGTATATATATATAAATAGATGAAATCTCTCAACAACAATCTCATCCACAACAATTTTCTCAAAATAAAAATGTTTGTGGTCCCACAGGGTTAACCTCTAATGGCGTAGGGTTTCTCTAAAACAGAATTCTCTCCAAAACAAATCTTTTTCTTGTCCCTCGATTTTTATTTACAAAGAAAATTCATTTGTACAGTGAAATACAGTACAGTATAGAAATAGTAATTTCAGCTTCAAATTATTCCTCTTGGCTTCCCCTCCCTTACAAAAAAAATCAAGTGCCTAAAGAGTCTGTAAAAACAAGCTCATTTTTGCCAGCAGTAGAAACCCTTATCTGAACCTTCCTCTGATACAATAACCTCAATTCCATAAAAAAAAATTGTGCCAGGACAAAGAATGGCACTAAATCAAAATTTAACTGCATTCAACCATTTCTATCTGTAGCTTCACACCACTCAGTCAACACACTTTTTTGTGTATAATTCACCCCCACTGTATTCAACAAGACACAAACTTTGCCAGGACCAATTATGTCACTGAATCAAGGTTTGAATGTATTAAAAATTAATTTTTCTATTATTATGGCACACAGTTGTCATTATTCTTGGATAATTCACAACATATTGGAACAGATCTAGTTCAGGGTATCCCCAACCTTTTGTGGCCCACAGACTGCCAAATTTCCATAAACATTTACAGAATGGCAAATTTCCAAAAACTTTTCTGTGGACCATCAAAGTTTCTAAACTTTTTTTTGAAAGACTTCATGGCAGGCATCTGAAAAGTTTCAGCTTTTTTTATTTGCAAAAATCAAGCAAAGAACCAATGAGGCAGCTATATTTGAATGTTTTCTAAAGTTACAAAAGAACAATTTCCCCAAATGAAAAATGAAGAAAAAACATTTTATTAAAAGTTTCAGCTTTTTTTATTTGCAAAAATCAAGCAAAGAACCAATGAAGCAGCTATATTTGAATGTTTTCTAAAGTTACAAAAGAACAATTTCCCCAAATGAAAAATGAAGAAAAAACATTTTATCCAAATGTGTCTGAAGCATCATTAGGAGAAAAGCCAACTTCTATTTTTCATCAAATAATTTCAACTGCCATTGAATTTCCAAAATTCCAGATGAAAATACTGTAACAGACTTCATTGCTGCTCTTGATAAATTTATCACGCTCAAGAAAATTTCTCAGGGACTGGCAAAAAACTTCTGAGGACCAGCACCAGACTGTGGACCACAGGTGGGGGGAACACTGATCTAGTCCACTAACCCAGGCATCACTCCAGTAAAAAATAAACATCAAAAATACAGCAAAGCCCTTGAAGTTAGTTCCACAAACCTCCCTGGCACAAAGTGTCCCACAATAGTGTTCTTCAAGGAAATCACCTTATTCACTCAAGTATTGCACAACACGCTGAATTTTGAGAGATTTTAAAAGGGGGAGAAAATGCACAAACCTGCTGATGCCTCCTGCTATTGTTCCCACTATTACTACCACCACCAGCCTGCACAGCTTCATTGTAACTCGGCGGAGGAGCAACGTATTGCCCAGCAATGATCTGCACTCTATACACTATTGAATGCTCCAAATATTTTTATTGAGTTGAAAATATATTCACTGAATCAAATTCAAGCAGCAAACAATTTTTAAATGGAATTCTGAAGAACATTTCTTCCATGAAACACCAATTAAAAATTATATAATGTAAGTCTATGGAAAAACAAGACTCAACTTAGGGACACTCTCGATGCACAAATTATGTCCAGATCTGGGGGTCTCACTGTATTTTCTTAACCATCGAATCATAAAAAAAAAACACAACAAGACTTGAAGAATGGCACACATGAAGAAAGCAATATTAGCGCATTGTGTTGAAACTGTATTTGAAATTTAATAAACAACAGTAATTGTTTTAACCTTTGAACCATCAAACAAAAAACATGTCAGGAATTAAAGAGCAACACACCCGTGAAAAGCAAAATCAGAGAGTTATGTTCAAACTGTCCATGATTATCAATAAGCTAATTTTTAACCATGGAAGAAATAAAAAAAATCACAGGAATTGAACAATGGCACACATGAGAAAAGTAACATCTGTGTGTTGTGCTAAACCTGCCCTTTGTGTTCAAAGAAATACCTGTGTTTTTCTACCTGGAAATGCATCTACAATGTTTGTGTTTAGTTAAACTTTGAAGTTTTATCTGTGAAACTTAATTCTTGGGATAAGCTTTATGTAACTTTGATTGTAACAGAAAAGTACAGCATGATTTTCTTGAGCCCCAGGTTGTGAATGCGTTCAGTAAAATATTGTTACAACAAACTTCCACAGACCTAATTTAAATTTGTTATGTTTGCTGTAGATTCATGATTTTTCACACTTTCTAGACTAAAATTAAATGGCGTATTAGTAATAAATACTGTACAGTGCTTTTGAAACAGATAATTCAAGAAATTTCAATTTTCAAGTACAGTGATTGTTATTAAACAGAGAGAAAATTGTCTGCAGATCTTCCTTCTCTCATTGATTCATGTAACTTCACAGTGCACTTCTGAGAGAGGTTGGTTATCTGTTCAAGGAGATAATATTTTACATAGATTGTCTTGACAAGCAAATAACTATTCAAATAAATAGAGAGAATAACAGTTGAACCTCCGTGACTCAAACATTCCAAAGTCAAATACCTTCTTAGATCAAATTTGTTTTTGGGCACCTCTCCAAATTCCAGCAGAAACAATGTTCCTAACCTCCCTAACTCAAAGGCTTTCCCCTAAAATGTTCATAACTGAACTTTTCTAGAGACCTTTTTGCTAATATTTTATTCACACAGGAAAGATAACATCAATAAAAATGTAACTCAATGATTTTTCAAATGAACTGAAAGACTAATTGAGCAAATGAACCCTTTGCCTCCAAGTTCAGCATCCTGTCAACTCATACATAAAGCAATCCAAGTCCCAGAATTTCATCAATTACAATTTCCTGTAATTCCTATTTCTTTCCTCCAACAAAAATGCTTGTTTCCCGAACTCAAAACCCCCTCAAGTTTAACTTTTTCGAGGGTCCCTTGACGTTCGACTCACAAGAGGTTCTACTCCAATTCAAACTTTTCGCTGGTCTGTCATACTGAATTCTTCATTCAAACTTTAAAGACGTCTCATGTGACATTGACTCACAACAAGGAAATGAAAAAAAATTAAAAAATAAGTTTTCGAATCAAGAAGAAAACACGGATCCTTTCAAATAATCTCCAGTCGCAAAAAAAAAAAACCAATAACAAAAAAAAAAAAAAACAACAAAAACCTTCGCAACTTACCCATGACAATAAATTTATAAGTCTGCATGTACTCGAGATTCGACGCATCCAGGCCTTCTTTCCAGTTCCGCCCAGTCCTGCCAACGTCGCCGTGCACCGAGAAATTCGCGTGCAATTGGAGCTGGAAATTGCAGCAAATGTCCGGCGTGCACTGGTTACTCAACAATCCGGGGCAACAAAATTCCGGCGACAAACACCGTCCTTCCTCGCTGCAATACACCTTGCCGTCGCAGGGACGTCCGCATACGTCCATGGCCTCGTCCGACGGCTCGTTGCAGTCCTCTTGGCCGTCGCAAATGTACCTGGGGTGAATGCAGGACTTTTTCCCGTGACACCGGAACCAGTTCTCGTTGCACACGTTCGGATCTAGGAAAGGAGAAAAAAAAAACGCTGCAGTCAAAAAAATAAATTAATTGAGGGTAATTTTTTTAGAAGAAGGTTCAGTTGAGGGTTTCTACTATGGGTAAAATAAGCTCGCTCACATTATTTTTATGCCAATGAGTCTGTTTTATCAGAGAAAAGGCTTAAGAAATAATTTTAACACTAATGCACCATTCTTATACAATAGTACATTTCAATATATTTATTAATGTACAGAATATATTTTATTGTCACACATATTGTTTCAAGTAAAAGAGCAGAGCTATTTCTTGAAATTTTAAATCTTCAAGCTTGCTTTTTATTAAATTAGTTCCTCAGTCAATGGACTTCAATCTGTTTTTGTAAGACATGAATTGTCAAAAAGTGTGTTAAATGAGTGATCAAAAATGAGTGATCAGGCTAAATAAGTTTGTTCACCAAATATTTTGGTCACTGAGTGTGCTTTAAAAAGGAGGAGGTCACAAGCAATAATTTAAAGCTAAAATGTACTGTTTTAAAATGCATTTGAATATATGTAATAAGAAATAATATATTGAATCCTTATACATATTTTGTCTCATAAAAGATCAGAGTTGTTTTCTCAAAGTTTTGTTTCAGCTTCATTCCAGGCACATTCATGCAGGAATCACCAATGCTTCCAGGAAAGCTCTCACTTAATTTATAACATTTTCTATGAAGGAAGGTGCCATGCAACAACAAAAAATAATTTCAACAATCTAAATTCATGAATAGAATGTTCACGATTATCCTGAGTTTTTAGGAAAGCATGGACCAGTGATTCTCAGTAATGACCCCATGATATTCATAGAAAAAGGCCACATTTTCCAAAATTTTCACTCGTTCCTCATCCAAGACAGGGAATTTTGTGAAACCAAATAGCTTAGTACTAAATCAGGTTCTCCCTTAAAAACACAATTGAAGATTTTCTACAGGAAAATTTGCGTCACTATGCAAGGATGGAAAACAATTAGGGTTCATAAAAAGTGTTCTGCTGCAAATTTCTTTGTAGAAACTTTTCTTGGTCCCATGAGGTTCTTTGCCTTTGCTGTACGGGTTTCCCCACAATGAAATTATCTCTAGAACGAATAATTTTTTGCCAATCTGGATCTGTATTTGAAAAATGTATGTAACGTTTTTGGCACCTTCACGCATCTCGAAAGCAGACCTCGTTTTAAAATTTGCAAGCTCACAATTCGACGAAATCGAAACACTTTTTCCATCCAATCGGTTTTTTTTTCCGGCACTAAATTGAGGACTGAGCGGTACTTGTATTTTGCTGCAGGAACGGAAATCACGATGTCAGAAGGTCCCTCACTTTTGATGACGTAAAGCCTGACGTTCTGCGCTAAAACCTGCTCAATCCCGTCGTCAGAACTGACACGGGCCTCACACCGATACAACCCGTCGTCATCCCTCGTCGCATTTCTCAACAACAACACTCGTTCATTTTGCAAAGGACTCGTCGAAAAGTTCGTCACTCGTCCATCTGATGCGTGTCGGGCTTCAGGCAGAGTCCACGTCACTAGATATCTAGGAACACTGGCTCCAACCAGTTCAGCTCCAGACACTGCACAACTGATGTTCACGTCTGTCATTGACAAAACTATGAACATTTGCGTCCCGTTGTGGAACTTTTTCGGAGCGGCTTCTTGAAAGCCGTAAGACGCGGAGATTTGAATCACTGAGGCGTCGAGACAAGTCACATATCGGAATACAGGCACAAGGAGGAGATACGGGAAAAAACGCGTCTTCTCCCGCATGATTCATGAATAATGCCTGCGAGCGAAAGTAAACACGTGCAAACATTCAATCACAGAACATACTCGAGAGAAACAGAGGGAGAACGAGGAAAAAGTGGAGAGATGCTCAAAAAAAGAAATATCACGACCAGTTGGGTCTCGAAAAATCGAAGTTCATCCATCACTAACGCCAAACCTTGAGTCAGTCTCATCATCTGTCCTGGCACATTTTTCCTGGCTTCAAGTCAAGGGTATTCAACAAGAGAAATGTTCAGTTGATGGTTTCTACTGTGGGTAAAATAAACGAGTAGGACAAGGCATATTTTGTCCCTTAATCAGAGTTACGCTCAAAAGCGTTCCACTGCTCAAAAATATAAAAATATTGCTTCTGAATTTTTTCCCCGTTTCCGAGTAGTTGAGAAAGCAGATCGAAAGACACATTCTTCTCATACGACAGAAAATGATGCTCAAAATGTTTCCCTGATTACTGGGGCAGCAAATTTTCACGAGATATTCCGATTCTGAGAAATCGTCCACTTTTTCCGAATGAAAAAGAAAGAAGACACGAAGAAAAGGCATATGTAGTGCGACATCACGTGAGCAACAGGAACAAGCTACTATTTTTTCAGCGATCTAATGTCCTCGTCGACCTGCTTCAAAAGACCATCTACTTTGTCCATCACGGTCTGAATTCTAACCACCACGTCTTTCCGCTTCAGTTTAGCTTCCTTCTGGTCCTCGGTAAACCTGGAATCAAATCCATCATTGCGAAGACCAACTGAACAATCGAACTCAAGGTAGACACCTCAACGCATCCAGCTTTTCCAACACTTTCATGAAGCCCTCGTTCACTCCGCGGAGATTCGTTTTGATCTTCGGCAAGGCTTCGGTCTTCAGATTTTCCGGTAAATATCCCTGTATGACGCCGAAATAGGTTCAATAAAAAAAAAAAAAAAAACGAGAATGATTTTTGAAAACGGCTTACACTCGAAAAGTTATTTATGCTCTCCTCCAGGTCTCGCAGTCGAGCGAACAGCGGAGCACATTTGTTCAGAAGATCGACCACTTCCAGGTATGAGGGATCATTTTCGAAGTCTGGTTTTGCCCGTATCACCTTCGAGAAAGCAAAAAACGTCAGCCTGTTTTTGTAAAGATCCTTTTGGAAGTATTCACCATTAGTTTATCATTGTCACGAACACCACAAGATGCTAAGGTAGCACTGGGATCGCTGAGGTATTTTCCACGGTGAATGAGCTTTTGTTCGGAAACTGCGATCCCAGTACGAGCGCTGAGGTCCTCTTTCGCTGAAGCGATAGTTGTGTCCACTGGCCATAACATATTCAAGCGGTTTGGACCTGCATCGCAATTTCATAGAAAATACTGCGCTGTTTAGCTGAGACGAGGTATTTCAAGAAAAAATCATCTCACCACTCGTAACTTTGATCGTTATGGTTTCCATAATCGATGTTGGATATCCGGTATTATCTCAAATTTTTGTTGAGCTTTGCAAATCATGCAACATTGCAAGATGTCCGGGCACCTAGACAGCATCAAGCAGCTGCAACGCTCAAGCGCGACGCTTCGGAAATTTACGGAAAACCCGATTCCATTAGTCTGTACACATCAGACGAACAGGCATACGTTCATTTTGTTAACAGAAAATCAGATGGAAATTAGAATTCTGACTGCCATCCGTTGATTTTTTAAGCTCGGAGCAGATTTTCATCATTGAGATGCGCGGACTTAAACTGACGAAGTTATGAACCATGCGTACCCCCAACGAATGGAGTGTTCGTGTTCAAATTGTTGGGAAATCTATGGAACGTTTTCTCAGGGCTTTCATTCCACGCGTTTCGACCTGAAAGGGACATCATCTACACTGAGCTCTAGTACAAAGTTCTGTAATATGAGTAAGCCTTTAAGGGAAACTCCTTCCGCGGAAAGCATGAAAACAACGTTATCCTAACTCACTGGCTCATCTGCCACATGACAACATAAACAATCGATGGTTTAACTGAGCATGACTTCTGACTGGTTGAAGGCATGGTTTCAGTGATCCTCCACAAGTGGCTTCCATCCGGACCATTCCAGCTCAAAAATTACCAAGTTCATAATTTCCAGTGTCGAGCCTGTTGGAATTTTTTGTAATGCCTCTTCTCAGCATTGTATCACCAAATCGCATTTAGGGCACGAGTGCGTGACTAGGTAATTACCATTCCCTGACTATGCATCTACGGAATTCGCGAATCACCGAAAAGCGTTGCCAGAAGCATGGTACAATAGTGTACTCTGCAATCGAGTTGATTGAAGGAAAGTTCACCGATACGAGGGTACAGTACCTATGTACTACTTGGCAACGTTGTTCGAGGGAATTGCTCCGAGTTGGACAGCGTGGAAGGGTGACGAAATTTAAGAAGTGTAATTCTGTTGCGAAATTCGATTTGCGTCGAAGACGTGTGTGATGTTCGTCACTGAACACGTCAAAACTGTGCGGTTGGATCCATTTAGGTGTAGTTATCGTGATATTATTACTTATTGTGGATGTTTTATTCTCAGTAGATCCCAAGACATTCAGCGAACTAGTGTTTATGTGATCTCAGCATGATCCTTGCCGCTCACATTTGAAGCAATGCCAGTACTCGACCAAGGGGGCGATTACGGTTTCACGGACCTAATGAAAGCCCAAGCGCTGGATGAAGGCGTCAGTGTTGACGATGAGGATTGGTGCAGCGTCGACTCGCTTCAGCAGCGACACCGGAAGAACCCTTCGTCCGTTGTGGATAGTGATTTCGTGAGCAATGCTGATGAGTTGGATCCCGAACCGGAAACCGATTTCCCTCCGCGTAGACCTAGTCTGTCGAACGATTCGTTAGTACCGAATCCATTCGTAAACGAAATTCTCATCGGATCTTGGCCCGAAGCAATCAAAGTAAGTTACGACGTGTGTTCGGTGAAATGATCGGGGAATTAATTGTATGACTTCGCAGATCACGTTGATGACAATCTTCGTGCTTCCGATTCGACTGATCGGCATTATCTTCTTCTTCCTGCTCACCTGGGTCCTGGCTCGTGTTGGGGTCTGCGGAATGTTGGAGTCGGATTTGCGCGATCATCCGATCAGTGGCTGGCGGAAACGAGTGCGAGAAACGGCCTGTTTTTCGATGCGTCTTTTGTTCCTTTTTGGCGGCTTCCACTGGGTCTCTGTCAAAGGCAAACAGGCGAATTCCAAGGAAGCTCCTATTGTTGTCGTGGCTCCTCATTCTTCCTTCTTCGACGCATTACCCGTTATCATGATGGGAGCCCCGGGTTTGGTGGCGAAAGGGGATATCGAGAAAACGTCTCTGCTTTCCGGTGAGTTTGATTTGATTTGCAGCATTACAAGGCAATATTTCGAACATGAAACGAACATTTATTCGAGCAGCTCTGTTGAACTTCACGCAGCCGGTGTATGTGTGGCGAGAAGACCCTAACTCGCGTCAAAACACGATTAAGGAGATTCAGCGAAGGATGGAGTCGAAGGAAGGTTCGTTCATGATAATTCCGAGGTCTCAGTGATTAGGATCATTCATATTCGTGTGTGTGTGTTTTTATCATGCAGATTGGCCCCAGATGCTGTTGTTCCCCGAGGGCACGTGCACGAACAGAAGTGCCTTGATCACCTTCAAGCCGGGCGCGTTTTATCCCGGGCTGCCGGTGCAACCCGTGTGTTTGAGGTACGAGGCGGACCAGGACTTGACCTCGTGGACCTGGAAAGGGGCGTCGTGGATGGAGGTGTTGTGGCGAACCCTGGCCAGGCCACACACGCCGTGCGAAATGGAGTTTCTTCCTGTTTATTATCCGAACGATGCCGAGAAGGCAGATCCGGTGCTGTATGCGAAAAACGTCCGCCAAGTCATGGCCGAGTAGGAATTACTTTTTCTTTGTCGTGTTTGTAATTTCTTCAGAATTACTGTGTCGATCAAAGTTTGAAAGTAGAGGCCCCGAGATGCGGACGCAATTTGTTCCTTGGACCTTTGTCCATATTTCGAAACGTCCGCATGTAGAATAACGTTTTCCCTCAAACCTGACTTTTTTTTCTGAATAAATTGAAATATTTCTGCAAATAAACGACGTTTCCCAGCGTTTTGACGCATCTTTCACAGCAGAAGTAGGTTTGCAAAGTTTATCAAGTGGCCATTCACTTATTTATTCCCGAAATGGAAAGGAAAATTGCAGAAAATTGTGATAAAAGGAATTATCGTGAAATCACGCCAGAAATGATGCAAGAGCAATTAGTATGTTTGCAGCCAAGCGGATGTATGAAAGGGTACAATTTTTGAATTGGTTCTCCTATTGGTCAGAAATTTTGGAAAAGTCCCCCGAACCTTTAATAAAAATTGTTTCTCAATTCAAAAATACAGGAAATAAACGAAGCAAACACAAACAAACAGAATCCGTCTTTTTGGCATGGAAAAGAGCTCAAAAAGCAGAGAACTAGCGCAAGTATTGCCATACTTGACGTGATAGGAAAAACCCTGAATAAAGCAGCGCAAAATTAGTTTATTTTGTATTATGAATTAGAGTAAATCCATGAAAATAATTTTTTTCATTTTTTTGAATACGAAGAGCTCAATTGTTCAGGGTATAATCAAATTTTTAAAAATAAAGCCTTCCAATTTTCGTTTAGAAATTTCGTCAGTCTTTATATCTTGAACCATTTTCTGTGCAGATTGTTGAATTTCTTGTGTCCCAACGTCGAATCGTCCGCAGGTCGGGGCACCCACGATGTAATTCATCCTGAAAACTTGAAAAATTCCTATGTGAAAGTGCTGAAAATTTACAAAGCAAAGTGATTTTCGAAAGATGATTTCTACGTGAAGTGTTGCAGTTTTTCCCCTCTTTTTTTGTGGCTTCGTCGCGAAAAACGAAAATTAACGCCGGTTTCCTTGATGATATATTTTGTGTTCCTTCATCTTTTTTTGTGCAGTGCGTTGAGCATCCCAACTGCCGATTATACGTTCGAGGATTGCAGGGCGATGAGTGCAGCTGAAAAATACGGGCTGCCTTGCAATGTAGGTCTTGTACAAGTATTCAAGCTCTCTAAGTCTCTGGGGTAAGATTTCATGAACCTAATCAATCCCAGTGATTGTTTCTGATTAGTATTATTATTTTTGTTTATGCCAAACAGAATGACTACTGAGGATGTATTGGCGGAGATCAAGAGATTCGCAGCATTCGCCGACAAGGAGACCGGGTTGTTGAATTTGGAAAAGTATGCTGCCGTTGTCGGGTTGTCCCTGAGCCCGTCTGAAATGTTCTCGTTGCTCTCGCTTGATTTAGTGGAAGTGAGTATATTTTTCAATAATCGTTTTTTTTTTTTGGCGTGCGAAATCCGAGCTTTTTTTTTCAACAAATGTTTTTCGAATGTGCGTGTGTCGGTGTGTTTTTGTCACGCTTTTGGTTGTGGAAGGTCCATCGACCAAAGGCTGCGACGCTATTTAGAATTGCTAATGGGTTCCAGAATCCGCAGAAGTCCCTCGAATGAATAATGTGATGCTTTCATCGATACATCCCTGGATATTGGAACGCGAAAAAAATAAAATTTGAAAACCCACGTGAGGTCTAACAAACGGTCTCGGAATAGGAATTTAAACTACATGCAATTGAACTGAAAAAGAATTATTGTTCAGAGAAAGCGCTCTTTAGCGAAAAAACAGCCCTGTTCGACATATTTTTGACAACAATTTTGCAAACCTCACTCTGACAGCTTTCTGCTCTTCACAAAAAAACATGAGGCGACCATCTTGCATTTTTTTTGTGTACCCCAACTTTCCTTTCAGAATTCTTGAAATTTTACATGTCATTAATTCCAAGAATTTCCGTTAATTGAATATTAATCCCGCAATTTTCACCAAAAGCCGCCACTTGGAATAAGAATCTGGCGGCCGTTGATTAAAATGGCGGAATGACATCAGAAGCCCGAAAGGCAACTCGTGGAATTAGCGCAATGTCGATTTCAAGAATTCTGAAGAAGCTGACCTTCACCGGAAAAATCTGCGAGATGGTCGCCTATTTCTTCGAGTGAAGAGCAAAAAGCTGCCAGGTTGACTTTGGCGGAAAGATTTAAAATAATACATCGAAGCTGGGCTGAAATTTTATTTTCGTGTGCAAAACAAATTATTTTAAATTATGATCGTTTTTTCAGCTCAAGCATGTGCCGTTTCAATTTATTTCCCGAGAAATTTTGTTATACCACGAGTGAATATTTGAAGCGATTCGAATGAATTTTATCCACGTGAGACTTTTTTTGGAGGCGTATAAATTTGCTTCCTTCGAACATAGACGAAAACATCTACAGGTTACTCCGCTGCACGATTCCTTCGCGGTGTCGGTCCTCTTGGATAGGTGTCGCTCTCCTAAACACAAATGCTTATTTTTTGGAATGTTGTGATTTTTTTCTCTTTTCTTTTTCAGCTCAACTTTTGCGACCTTTTATTGATTCATGTTTTACTTTCAGGAGCCGCTGACGTTCAGAGAATATGTGCTGCATCGGAAAGAGATCTCAGAGCTGGAGAATATCGATCGGAAACTCAGATCTACGTTCGAAGCGTTGACCCAGACTAAAGAAGATGTGGTTTTTGATAGAAGTGCGTTTGTAGAAGTGAACGCTGACCGCGGCTTTGGTGAGTAGACAAAATTGGCTTTAAAATACGCGTGATTGCGTCCCGATTCCATGTGAATGTACAGTAAAATTCCGTTGCGAGGAATGTCGGTAAACGAAATTTTCGCCATTGAGAATTTTTCTCTTGGTCACAACAGCGCCATCTTATAATGATCTCTATTTTATAGCGTTGTTTTTTGCCTGTGATCTCAGTATGACGAATTTTAGACAGTGATTCGGTGCAGAGGTCAAAGAGATTATTTTATAACCGGATGACAAATAAAAAAAAATATCTGTTTCAGTTAGCATACGAACTACCGGTATGTAAAAGAAGCAAAACTTTCCGTTGACCAATTTTAGCGTTGAAGAATCTGCTCAGCATGAAATATTTCTTGGAATTTTTTTTGGAAAAAGCATGCTTTCTTAGAGACAACTGTAATTTGAACAGAATTTTCATTTAATTCAACTAAAATAACTATTTAATTCAAGATAAAACTGAAATTAATGAATTTTTTAAATAGAAAGTTTCATTTCCCACGTAAACTCAAGTTTTACTTCATTTTTCAAGGCACACAGCACGTTAGTAGGAAGGCAATTTCATCATAAAATAAAGTTTCCCCTTCTCTTTCTTCAGAGAGACTTGGAAATTATGACAGGTCTTGAATTATCTGTTTTGGAAGCATTTTACAATATTTATTACCTCATTTCCTGCAAAATGTCAGTCAAAAATGTGTTTAAAATCATGATTGCCAATGTAATGAATTTTTTGTAATGTCTTTCAGAGATCGTTGTAACGCAATTTTACTGTTCACTAGACTCTGGCGGTTATTTTTTGAAGATATTTCTATGGGATTTTTGATTTGAGTGTATGATTTATTTCGTTCGCAGAGAGTTTCAAGGAGCAAGTGTTGTCGAATCCAATGCTACTTTCGGTGGTGCGGGTGGGAACGAAGGACCAGTCTTCGGGTGACCACCTTTAATGTCAGCCCAACTTTCGGAAACCAGAGAAATATATAAAAAAAAAATGCTACAATGAGAAGCCAAAAGACACCGAAACGAAGAAAGTCTCTCTCATTGTGTTTTATTTTTCAATGTTAGAAATTGTGAATCGAACCCGAGTCTCCAATGCCAACCCAGCTTTATGTCGGCCGAAATACTGCTAAAAATGAAAAGGAAAAAGAAAAATCTGCTCTGCCTACCAGTAGGAAAAAAATAATAAAGGGCGCTAGTCGCAGAATTTGTCTGTCGTTTTGTTTTTAGCAAATTTTTGGGTTTTTTTTTCCGAAAAACGACGTTTTCCTGGAGCGGGAAGTCAAATTCCGAATCGATGTGTGAAGGGGGGATTTTTTGGTTGTTGAGGGAAAAGTATATATTTTATTCCTCGCACGATTTCCGGAAATAAGGGAAAACAAAACGCGCGGTTTGTGACTAATGTGACGTTGAAAAAAGAAAAGAAATTCCTTGTCCTTTTTTTGTGTTGCGTCATGGCGACCACAAAAAAAAACGAAGGAAAGAAAAAAGAAATATTCCACGAGATGCATGGAAAGCATATTGATATTGTTTGATAAATGTTCTTCCTCGACTGACTGATGCTTTTCTTCATTGCTTTATTTTAATTTTTTGCGAGAGAACGTTTGTAAAGTTTTTGGAAATTGTTGCACCTGTTTTTTCACGTGTTTTTTCCTGCAGAGAAGACTTGTTTCCAAAATGAGTAACATTTACATTCAAGAACCCGCGACTTCGGGAAAGGTGAGGAATTTTTTTTTATGTGTGATGTGAAATGACGAAATTTTCGAGCTCTCTCTTGTGTGCAGGTGATTTTGAATACGACTGTTGGACCGATTGAAATCGAGTTGTGGGCCAGGGAGTCGAAAAGAGCTGCGAAAAACTTTATGCAGTTGTGCATGGAGGGATACTATGACAACACTATTTTCCACAGGATTGAAAAGGGGTTTATTGCACAGGTGAAAAATTGAATGAGATTTTTTCAAAAGATATTTTTGATTTGATTACTGGAGTACCACATGCTCTTCATTTTTTGAGTAAGACGAGCACTTGGGTTTTTCATTCTACACTTTTGATGAAATATTGCACCTGAATAAGACACGCATCCCATTTTTAGTGGATATAATCCTGAAATATTCCAAATGTTATTGGTGAAAACTTTCTCAGTTTTAGTCAGAGTTCTCTTCCCTATGACAGAAAGTTGAAATTTTTCAGGCCTGCTAAAAATTGAAATTGCTGTTATTTTAACCATTATATAACATGCAGAAAGTAAAGTGTTTGGAACAACAAACAAATTTCAATATGCTTTAGCTGGCCTTACAACTTTTTAGCCCCCTCTGACGCAGGTGGAAACCTCTGGGTGTCACTTGAAAATTTTCACCTACCACCAGCATGTAGTAAACTGGAAAGTTTTTCTTTATTTGAAAAAAATTCAATAACCTTAGAATATCTTGGGTTATTTCATGATGTTTTCTTTGAAATCACATCTACTTTGAAAGTACTGTATAAGAGGTTGTGTTGAGCTGGGACAACCCTTGTATTGTTCATTCATATTCCTGGTAGAAGTAAACTTATCTGGAAGATATTCCTTGATGGAATTAGTCTAAAATTTCCTGTTAAATTCAAGTATGATGCATACCTGAACCTCTAAAAACGTTCATAAAAAAATTGATGCCAACCTATGAGGATGCATTTCACTCTTTTTTTCCTGCAATTTTGAGAGAAAGGATGCACATGGTACTTGAGGGAATTGCAATATTTTAATGAAATGATTTTTCTCTTTTGAAGGGAGGTGATCCAACTGGTTCAGGAACTGGTGGAGAGTCCATTTATTCCAGAGAAGGCAAACCTTGGAGGGATGAGTTTCATTCTAGATTGAGGTTCATGAGGAGAGGCCTGGTTGCTTGTGCTGATCAGGGGTCTCAGTTTTTCTTCACCTTAGGAGAAGCCATGGAGCTGCAGAATAAGCACACCATTTTTGGCAAGGTATATGCATTCTCTACGTCAGGGCTTTTCAACCTTTTTGAAGCGCCTACCCCTTTTCATCCTCTGGAACAGTCAGGTACCCCTAACACTAACTTGAAATGTGTATTTCAATCATGTAATAAACCATATTTTCTAAAATTTGCTTGAAGCTTCCTAATTACATGAAAACAAAATGTACTCCATCAAATCTCTCTTGTACTTCACCTTTATTGATGATGATGATGCATCAGGCAAACTATGTTTGTCAAATATGGAAATTTAGTGACTGCACAAGTTTTGAACCAGTGAATGCTTTATTTTCTGTGAATTAAAAATGCAACTTCCAAGAAGTACAGAAACAAATTAGTTCTCAGCCGGTTATTCTTGGGCCAGATCACTTTCTTTTTGCACCTTTGGTTCATTGAGAAATTGATTCATACTAAATTATTTGCCTGCAACATATTCCACATAGAAATCAAATGCATTTAAATTCAGCAGGTTCAGCATCATCAAATATTAAATTTTTAAAAAATGAAGCACTGTGCCTTGCCTCCTCACTGACCAGCTTTATTAATACCCATGTATGTCAGAGTAAAACTGTTCATCATAGAGACACCTAGTGAATTCACTTGTCAGTCATTGCAGCAATAAATTCAGGACAAACTCTATTTCTAAAAAATACAGAGAAGATGCTTTATTTTCCAAGTGAATTTCATGAAGATATTTTTCAAGTATGAGAGACAATTTGTAGCTACCATCAAGGTGTGATGGAATTAATAATTATCATCACTCATTAATATTTAAAGTTCAACATAAGATATTTGAATTAAGCTGCAGCAGAAAATGCCCAAATAAGTGGTTGTCAGTTAAGGAATCACTTTGCTGAGAAAAGTTGATGAGTTTTGGGCACTCAGAGGAAGTGTTCCAGCCATGCATCTAAATTTGAAGCACTGCTGAGTTATGAATAAACTGTTAGGTGCTAAAATCTTGGCATTTGAGCATTCTTTGAGAGCCATTTTTTTGCAAACCAGACTGAGGCTTGGCAAGTTCTTGGTTTAATGCTCTTGCTTGAACAGTGGCTGATTAATTTTTTTTTATCCAACACATTTGTCTCTTTAATTTTTAATTTTTCTTAAGCTTTAATTTTTCTTTTCCTAAAAAATTAAAGCTTTTCAGCTTTCTGGATAATGCCAGAGAGAAATGTGTTAGGAATTTTAAGAATTTATGATAATTTCTCTGGAAGCCATTCAAAATCTGGGATTTGGCACATGTGAATCTGCTTTGATACATTACATCCATTTGATTTTTTTTACTGGCATATGTGAATTAGGGAAAATCATGAAGCCTTTTCTGTGGACCTAGAAATAAACATTTCTTTCCTCAAATGTGTATCACTGCAGTTGTAGCACTGGCTGGGTTTGGCCAAGAATACCTGCTGACTTGAATAACATCAGGCAGCAACATTTTCTCACTCAGTTTCAATGGCAATGGAAGTACAGATCTTATCTGCAAATTGACCTGAATAAACACCACACTTGCCTAATTTAATAAATTTGTGTGCTGGACTTCCCAAGGCTTGCAAATTAAAATATATATATATATAGTGATCCATTCCCTTCCACTCCCTGACCCCCCCCCCCCCCCCCCCCCCCCCNCACTCCCTGGCCCCCCCCCCCCATGAAATAAAACATTTTGGCTCAATTCTTGAAAAAGTTTTTTGTTTTTCATCATAACTCTTTCAATTCTTGATATTTTTGACTTCAAAATGGGAAAACATGGAACACTTCACCACACATCTTACTTTCTTTTAATTTTGAATTTTGGTGCCATGGAACCATTTTTATAATTTTTTAAAATGTCAAAAATGGGATGCGAAAATTTAAATAGTTAAATTTAGCTTACTGTCATTTCCTTAAAATTTGATCAATTTAAAAGTTCATTGCAGGGTTAGATGCACACTAAAGTTTTACAAATTTATATATTTTTTAATGGGGGAGAATGTTGAAAGTTGAATCAGTTAAAAATAAAAATGTGAAAAGATTTTCCCCAGTTTTCTCTTGATTCTGAAAAAAGTTTTACATTGTTCATTGTCAATCCATCAATTTGCAACCTTTTTCAAAATTCAAAAAAATGTGGCAAACACCATGATGTTTCTAATAAGAGTTTTAAACCTTAGTTTGGTTGAATATTGAATGTTTAAAAAAATTTCAAGTTTGAGAAATGGGACACAAAGATTCAAAAATTTCTCTTCAGCTCACTATAGTTTCTTTAAAATTTGCTCTATTTAAAAATTTTGTGCAGGGCTAGATGCGCATCAAAGGTTTACAAACTTAGAAATTTTTAAATCATGACAAATTCTGGAAAATGAATTAGTTGGAAATTAAAATTTAAAACAATTTTGCCCGATTTTGGTTTGATTTTCAAACACATTTTGCATTTGTAATGATATCTCACTCAATGTTGAAGCTTTTTCAGAATTTGAAAAAAGTAGATTTAGAAAACATCTGTGCGCTTTCAACATTTGAAGAAATTTGAAAATTGAGTCAAAATTGAATTTGTGAAAAATTTTCATAGTTTGGACTATCAGAAACAGGACCCTCCTGCAGGCCTCTCTGAGGCTCTGTGGGAGGGTGGTGAGGGGCAGGAAGGAAGGGAGGGCTGGCAAAATTTGAAAAAGCGCAAACCTAGGATGGCAAGCACACTCAGGCAATTTCTACCTCCACTTAGGAATTTTTTTTTTGGATGGGACAGTGGCTGGCGTACCCCCTGGCAAGCACTTGCGTACCCCTTGGGGTACGCATACCACCGGTTGAAAAGCCCTACTCTATGTGACCATCAGTTGCAAAAAGTAAAACAAATTAGACTGCAGTTGCGCAGAATCATGCAACCCACAATCTGCAGAAGGTTTTTGCCAGTCTGCAGGGAAGTTTTTTCAGCATAAGAAATTTATTGAATGTTGTAATTGAAGTCTGTTATCTTCATGTGAAATTTAGGACAGACAAGGGCTTTTAAAATTATTTTGTGAAAAATTGAAACTTTTTTATGAACACTACAAAAAATGTTTGCCTGCTAAAATAAATTATTTCAATTTTTCCTTCAGCTGAGAAACCTATTTTGAAACCCAGCTTGAAAACCCAATGTTGGTTCGCAAGTAAATTTTTTTGCAGTGAAAGTTTTGGTTGGAAGACTTCAATGCAGGTTAAGTACTGTATTTAAGCAATTTCTGCAAGTCTAGATTTTATGGAAGTTTGCCAATCCACAATTTTGCTGAAGTTTGATTGTCTACCGACCCGAAAAGGTTAGGGAATATTGGCATAGATTTTACTGCCAGTATCTAGTTTGGAGGTACAGTAGCTTTTGGTGGTTTGGTAACTAAGCTTTCCAAGTTGGCACAACTGTTAAAGTACCCAATTTAATTTTTTTTCTTTCCTAGGTTGGTGGAGACACTATCTTCAACATGATCCGCTTGGAGCAATGCGAAGTGGATCACGAGAACCGTCCGGAATTCCCGCAAAAGATCCTTAGCGTGAAAATCGTCGAGAACCCGTTTCCGGAACTCGACGAAGAAGAATTCGCGGCGAAACGTCGCGAAGCTCAAGAAGCTGCTAAACCCAAGAAAACCAAGCCCGAGAAAAAGGGTTCCAAGAACTTTAAGCTCTTGTCATTCGGCGACGAGGCTGAGGCTGACGAAGCTGAAAATATTGCACAGGCCTCGAAGGTCAAGTCCAAGTCATTCCATGATCTCGGGAACGATCCGAAAATGATCAGTTCCACTGCGACGCATGAAGACGAAGAAGAAGCTGTTGATGTGAAGCCAGAAATAAAGACGGAGTATGATGCGGAAGAGGAAGACGTGAAGAAGCCTTCTGTTGAAGCCAGTGCCGATTTGGCGAAATCCAGATCCAAGAAGAATAAGGTCAAAGAAGAACCGCTTGATCCCAGTGATGAGTATCAGGCTGCGAAAGCTGTGAAGAAGACAATCCTGCCCAGAGCGAGACAGACCAAAGGTTATTTGAGTTTTAAACTGATTTGGTGCGACATCTACCGGAATGATGACGACATGCTGGAAATGACGTGTTCTTGGAAAAGAAGAATTTTAAGATTGCAAAGTACAGTATATATAAATAGTTGCTGATAAGAGATAAAATAAAATATCGCCGTCTTCTCAGGAAGTTACTGTATCTGGTATTCAGCTATGTGTTCTTATGAAATTCTGTAGATGTGAGTGTTATTTTGAGTGACATCTGCACGATTCTTGCATTTTCTAAATTGGATTGTGAGAGTGTTGAACCTCTTTGAGTCAAAATTAAAGGGACAAGCAACAAAAATTGACTTGGGGAAATAGAGAAAAATTGTAATTGGTGATATTCTAGCATTTAAATTATGTTTTGAATGAGTTGACAAGATGCTAAACTTGGAGGCAAGGGTTCCTTCACCTCATTTGTCTTTCACTCCTTTTCAAAACACATTAAGTTATTTTTTTGCTTTCCTCTTTCCTGTTTCAATCAACCCAGAAAGGCCTTGAAAATTTTGACCTATGGAGGTTTGAGAGGAAATTCTTCTGAGTTTGTGAGGTTTTTAAGAATGCCTTGTTTCTAAGAAAATTCAAAGAGAGGCTTTACAAAGAAAGGTTTGAGTTGTCAAGGTTCAAAAGTATGATCATTGTCTTTCTTCAGGTTCTGCAAGGGAAGCAGACACATTGAAGTTGCTGGCAAAATTCGCAGCTAAGCTCAAGTCTCAGGAAGACGAAGGTGAAGCTGCTGAAGAAGAAGAAAAAACAGACGAAGACCCTTCATCCGAATCCTGGTAAGGGTTTTTACATTTCCCTTCTAAATTTTCAACGATGAAATCTTTGGAGTTGAAAATAAGTCCACCCTGAAAAGTGTCGCTGGAGGATGAAGACCAATATTATTTTTTGAATTTTATAGTTTTTTTTTCAATAATTAAAGAAGAGAATCTTGTTTCAATTTCGGAGTGAAGATTTCAAGAGGTTCAAGATCTCAATGATAATATTTTTTAAATGAAAAAATCGAATCGGAATTTTCTGATTCCATGAACGAAGAATTATCGTATGAATTTTCATGTTATTCTGACGAAAATCTCATGAATATTTGTTCAAAAAAATGTTCCCGGAAGATGAGGGAATTTTCATGAATAATTGTGGAACCTTTTTTTCAAATTCCAAAGTTGAATTTTGATTTATTTTTATGATTTTCCGGTAGTTGATCAATTTTATTTGTGTGATGCAAAATTTTTTTTTCATCTATTTACTCAGGCTGAACCACAGACTAAAGTTTGACATGGAAACCCCAATTTTGGCAAAGGACGCCAACACGAAAGGCGACGACTGGTACGAAGTTTTCGATCCCAGGAATCCCATCAACAAACGCAGAAGGAACGAAGATTCCTCAGAAAATCGAAGCAGCAAATCGAAAAATTCGAAGCATCGTTGATTGTTCATTGGTTTTTTTTTTTGCTTTTCAAATCTCGAAGGAAAACATTGCGTGCTGTGTATTTTGTATTTAATGTTGTTCCTTACTTGAAAAGAAAAAAAATATTGCGTTGGTTAACTTGGCAATTATTTGCCTTGTGAGCGAAAGACTTGCTGCTGGGGGTTCTTTTTTTTTAATGGCAGTGTTGCAAAAAAATGTGTTGCTCAACTCAATGGTGTGCTGATTGAGATCAAGTGGGATCCTGATGCAATTGAATCAGGGATGAATCAGCGGAAATCTCGGGGGTTTCTTGCACAAAAAATTGATCTTTGTCGCTATAAAACCTGCCCGGGAATGTTGGACCTGCAGTCAGAACAGTCTCACCTTTCGATCAAGAAGCATCACCCGAAAGAAGGTCTCTTTGGAATAAGAGCAGAAGAATGATGAAGGTTTGTTCGGATTTTTTTTTTCTCATGAGTTTGCAAAAATTTCACTTCTTACTTTTTTTGACAGGTTTTGGCATTAGCGTTGGTTTTGGCAGCAGTGTGTGTTGCAAATGCGGAAGCCAAGTCTGATCCTGATCCTCACCCATTGGCTCTTCCTGATGACTCAAGTTCATCTTCTGGAGGAAAGAAGTCAAAGCCTGAAGTGAAGTAAGCTCTGAATGTCATCACTTCTACTCAATTACCGCCATATTTTTATTTTTTCTGTCACTCAGAAATTTCAGCTGTATTATTTGCCTTATAGAGGGTGAGCCAAAAAATGTGAACCAGTTTTTGAATTACAAAATTTTGGTAGAGATTTGAGCTATATGAATGAAACAGAAATCAAATGAAAGCATATTCAATTTCCTTTTGGATGACTTCGGTTTCATGATCCCAAGTGTGGTCACAAAAATCATTTGAATATAAACTTTCAACAAAATAGCTCTTTTTTTATAGTGCAATTGAGTTCTTGGGTTTGAAGTTGAAGGGCATTATTTGAACCAGGTAATAGTTTTTTTTATTGCACTTCTTTTAAACAGTATAATTATTATCTTTAACTTTTTAACCTGAAAAATAATACAGGTGGACTCACTACAGTGATCTTGTCTGCAAAAATGTTCTCTGTATACAGATTTTGCGTGGTCCCATGGGGTCCTCTTCTTGTGTTACAAGGGTTCTCCAAACATATCCAAGGGACCAGAAAAAATTTTTTTTGTGGAGGTTGAAGAAAAATTCATGATACAAAATTCAAGGGACCAGAAAAAAATCTACTGTAGGGAGGATTTTGTTGTAGTGAGAGTCCACATGTACAGTAGTTGAGAATTCAGGCATTTTGACTAGTTTACTCCTCTTGAATGATTTGCAGCTGGAAAACATGACTAACATTAATTGAAAATCTTTTTTTGTGAGAATGTGGAGCTCTTCCTTGTGCATTCTGTACATTTATCTCAGTTGGATTAAATATAGAGTTTTGGAAATGATTTTCATGCCATGTTTTGCAGGGTGATGCACTACAAGCACAAGCATTCCCATGAGCACAAGCACAAACATCAGCATGCTCATGAGCACAAACACAAGCACAAGCATGGCCATGAGCACAAGCATGCCCATAAGCACAAGCATGATGAGAAGCATAAGCATGACCACAAGCACAAGCATGAAGAGAAGCACAAGCATGATGAGAAGCACAAACATGACCACAAGCATAAGCACAAGCATGAGAAGGATGACAGCAGTAGCAGCAGCAGGTAAGCTTTTTTCATATTTTTCAAAATAAGTTTTTTCTGAACTTATGTTCATCTTTGACAGCTCTGGAAGATGAATCAGCTGACATCATGCATTCCAAGGATTGTTGAATTTTGCCTGAACATTCTGTTTTCATTGTGGTTTTATTGGTCTTTTCATGTCTTTATGTTGTGTTGCACGCATGGTGAGCAGAATGAATAAGTGGAATTTGACTCCACTCATTTTCACTGTATCCTTTTCATATCATGTAGAGTTCAGTGTGGAAAGATTATTTATGAGGTGCAGAACTAGGTACAGTAGAGTCTGGTTGTGACATTCTTTTCACAGTAAAATACTTTCCAAGTTGGTATGATGTAATTTGTTTGATGTGGTATTTCAGGAAGGACAAACCCATGTTTGGCCTCACTTCTAGGGAGCATCCTTTGTGCGGTCTCTCAGATCAGTGAAAATGATTTCTAGACAACTGGCTCAGGAAAAAGTTTTAAACATGAAAAATCTTTTAGCATTTCCATAGAAAACTCAGATACTATGCCTATTGGAAGAAAACAGGGGAAAAGATGAATTACTAAGAAGAATGTCTATAGTGGATTTAGTGGTACTGTACATACTTTTAAAACATTTTTGAGACCACTACCAAATTTTGGCACTGCCACTACTATTATTTGCACTACCATTACCAAGTATGTTTTTCTTGCCATTAATACTACCACTACTGAAGAAATTGTATTCCCTATTGTAGCACTAACACTACCAAAATGTTTTTTCTCATCAAGCATAAGTAAGTGAACTGATTGAGAACCCTGCCCGTTGTAGTGACAACAGACAACACTTTTTGAAAAAGGAGTAGAGACATTTTCCTGACTTGCAAGTCATTTTTTATTGCATTTCCATCAGCAACATAAGTCTAACATGCATGGATGATGAAGTAGCATTTAATCCCACAACACACATAATGTATGATTTGTCTTCAATCAACGTCACTCTCAAACAGAAGATTGAAGATCAAGAAACTATCATAATAGTTATACAGTCAAACCCTGTTAAACCGCCAACATCTGTGCAGCAAGATTTTGGCGGTTTAACAAGGGTGGCGGTCTATCGAGGGTGGTGGGTCATGGGGGGGGGGGGGGGGGGGGGGAATACGTCATAGGNTTCAGTAAAAGAATATATATACAAATTTTTTAAATATTAGGAAGAATCCATGAATTTGTCAAACAAGCCACAAATGTGTGAAAAATTTCAATAATACATTCCCTGCTTAACTTTCAGGAATATTCTAAATTTTGAAGGAATCTCTTGTTGGAAGCAAGAAGATAATTATGTTTTGCAGCCAATCTGAATACAATTTGATATCTAAAAAAAAGCTGCACATCATTTGGAGAGTAAGAAGAGTTTCTGAAGAGTGCTTGCAGACCATAACATTCAAGGATTTATGGATAAAAAATTAAACTCTGAAGAGTATGTTTGGAAGAAGGAAAAATGCTGCTTTTTTCAAGAAAAAGTACAGAGTGAAAGAATTTGAAGAAAAAGTAGAAGGAAAGCCTTGGTCAGGAAATTTTAAGAATTGGCGGTTTAACGGGGTAAAAACAAAGGCAGGTGGTGTTTTGTGGCCAGCAAATTGTTGGCGGATGGCGGCCTATCAAGGGTGCCCCATCCTTTCAACATTGGGGGGATTTGTTTGGGGTAAAATTTTGGCGGGAGGTGAGGGTGGCGGTTTATCGGGGGGCGGTTTAACGAGGTTCGACTGTACCAACATAGATATAACACACCTTAGAAGTTTTTAAGAGAACCGCTAGATAATGATGTAATTTACATCTTGAACCTCTTGCAAGTCATTGCAGGAACTGGATATTTTTTTCTTTGATGATGCTTCCAGAGAATTTAGGTTTGCAGCCTTATTTGGGACTAATATCCTAGTCCTGCAAATGCAGGCAATCATCAAAGAATAATGGACCAAAATATAGATTTTAATGAGGGATCCTGATGAAATTCATCATTTGCAGTTTTTGCTTTTGTTGTGCTGCTGCGGATGGTTGTATTGTTTGTCCTGATGCTGGTGGTGGTGGTATTAGTTGTTACAAATGTCAAAAAATATTTGTTCAGGAATTTTGCCAAGGTGCGACATTTGATTGTGGTGAGCTTTTCTCACCATGCACCTTTGTGGTGCATCCTCTCCTTGAAAAACTGCTCATGCATTAAACCCAAAAGGGCAGTCATCCATAAATTTTGGAATACCAAAATATGTGTATCTTGAAACAGTATTTCAAGACTGATGCTTATCCTGCAATGCAAATCTTAACCTCTCAGACATGCAAACTGCATGACTACAGATTCAGTACTTTCTGAACAAAGTTTTGAAAGCAATGAACTTTATAATATTAAACTCTTGCCCCCAAATCTAGGACCCACAATTTGGTATAAAAACCTAGGTCCAATTCTAAATAAGTCAGTTGATCACTGATCCTCTAGAAGGAGTCAGAGTTCCATTTAGGCTTCCCCATCAAGCGTATTGTCTTGAATTGCAAGCATGCAAAATTGGGTTGAAAATAAACTGTTGTCAAAGAAAAGTCTGTGTGTTATTATTGTTGTGATAAGTCTTGCATTGTCAGCAGAGCATTCCTCCGCAACTAAGGAGTGATGAGGAATCACAAGATTAGGCACTCTTAATGGTCCCCTTATTTCTATCTTCCTTATTTTTTTGAAGTAAAATTAATTGAAATAGGATAACATGAGTCTTGTTTGAATCCAAGACTGGATTCAAAGTTGTCATGTTTCCGGATGGTGTCCCAGAATTCAAAGGAGTTGTTGATGGAGTGGCAGTGTGTCATCTTCTTCAAATGTAGTGAAAAACAGTCAGAAGATTTGTTGGAAGAAAGAAGGCAATGAGGTCAAATGTAATTGGTTTCGTTTCGTTTTCATAACCTAGTCCTCCTTGGATTCTCATTCTTTTCTCTCGCCGACTCTCATTTATTCTTCATAAAGTTAGCTTCACTGTACACATCTTGCGAAGATTAGCCTAATAAGGTCCCTCATGTTATTCTTATCAGATATTTTTATTTTCATTGATTAATTTTTGTACGAATAAATTATAAAGGACTGCGAAATTGACTTGGATTTAACCATAAATCTTAAATTCTTTTATGTGACATGAGTGCGTACAATTTTTGACCAGATTTTATCATACTATTGTCAACCAGACTCAATGCCTATGCTTGACAACCAGCAGTTTTTCAGACATGTCACTTGTGAATTCCATGGTATATCTACCCAAGTGGGGAGCTATTTTTGCTGTGACCCCACAGTAGGTGCACACCAGGGTCACAACTGGTGCATATGGGATATTCTGGGGTTACAAGTGTGCACTGGTGTAGAGGAAATTTTGCTACCAATCCAGGGCTACACTTGGTGCACAAATGTGACAGAACAGGAGTATCACACAAATGCACCAACTGTATCCTTGGTGTAACTAATTTGTTTACAAATGTGACCCTGAGTACTCCTGGTGTAAACACACAATTGGTGCACATTAGGGATATGCATGGGCAACAGAAGAACTTATTTGGTACACTTCAGGTGCACAGCAGGGTCACTGTTGTAGAATTACAAACATATCCCCAGTGTGCACCAATTTCCCCACTCTGGTAGTACTAGCATTTTTTATAAGTTACACTCTATTGTAGCCCTGAAATATGGTAATGTTGGGTAAATGTTTGCTACTAATTTTGGAATGGATGAGTCTTTTTTATTGGGAGTTGGCAGATCTTCCTTGTTGCATTTGTAAATATTGAAACAATTTCTGTGAAATTCTGACTTTGAGATGAGAAGAGGTGT